TTAAAGTTATTTTACTTAATTAAAATACAATCCTGTTATTTAATGTATATACAAGATTGAACATTTTCTAGAATTACTTTTTCATCTTCTTGAAATAGAAGACATATTTGAATCCACGGAAATTAATAATAATAATAACAATAATAATAATAATAATACGAAAAATCAGAACAATTCGTCAACAAATTAATATAAAAACCAAACGAATATATTATGCACTTTATCTTCCAATAGTTAAATAAACAACGAAAGAATGACGCTAATAGATAAGGAAAAAAATAAAAGATACGAAACTAGAAATGAAAGAAATTTCGTTGTTGAGAGTTAATACATTCTCCTGTCTAAAAAATAAAATAAAATAATAAAATAAAATAAAATAAAACTCCAAAATAGGAGAAATAAGGAACGACGAAGTACGCGGTGGCCATTTTGTTCCGTTCGATGATCAATCGTTTTTTTGTTCGTTCGTTCGTTCGTTTGTTTGTTATAATAAACGAATTTAATATTCGCTTACATGAACGATTGTCTCGATAATAATGACTTATTATTTTTTTCCGTAATAGTTCTGCATTTCATTACAATATATATATATATATATATATATATATATATATATAATTCCTGTCTTTTTTCTTATTGGTTTTTTTCTTCTACTTTTTTTTCTTTTGTCTTTTTTTTTTTTTCTTACGCGTCCCGCTAAAATCCTTAGATATAAATTAAATATCACGTCGGACTGTACAAACGCGAAAAAAAATGATAACAAACGCATGCACGATATTTGCGTTTTAACTATCGTTCGTGTTTCATAAAAAAGAAAAAAAAAAAAAAAGAAATATAAAATTCGGTAAAATTGTTTTCAACAAAAAATCTGTGTGTGTGTGTGTAAAATATATTAATAATTAATTAATTAATTGAGAAGAAATAATTCTCTTTTTTTTTTCTTTTTTTTTTTTTTCTTTAAGCCCCCAAACACACACGAACGATAGTGGAAACTAATGAATGCATTTGAAATAACGAAAATCTACGAATTAGGTTTATTTGGAATTTTGAAAGGCTGGATTTAGTTGACCACTTTTAGTGTTGTTACTCGCATTGGCTGGCAAAGGATTACTCAGGTGAAGTTTTTCTTGTCGTTTAGCGGCTCGTGCCAAACAACATAAAGCACCAATTAGTATAATAACACCGAGTAGTGCCAATCCTCCAGATAATGCGGCTCTTACGATCGGTGGCAAATCCACTGCCATTTTTAACAACGAACGCATTTCCATTGGTAGCTCATCGATAACCTGCAAACATTACAAAATTATTATTATTATTATTATTATTACGATTTTTTGGTGATAGTTTTAATTGAATCGTTGTAAACGTAAGAATATTTTTCAACGAGTTTTACAAACAATAGCTATGATTCATAAATCTCCTCATTGTTTGTTACCTTAATTAACGCTTATTAACGTGAACTAATAATTATACTAATTATCTTCTTGAAAAAGTATTACGCATTGTTTGAAATATTATTAAGAAACTCGTTCAATTATATTTCATCAGATCAATAATGCATTCTCATTCAAATTAAATATGATAGAATAAAATCGATCATTTTACAATATATTTTCGTAATATTCATTAGATTTAAATATTTATCATATTAGAACGATAAAAAAGTAAGACAGGATGGAGATAAGATTAACGTTATGCAAAATAAGGAATGTTGAAAGAGTTAACTAACTAATTGCGAGAACAACAACAAGAACAACAACAACAACACCGATTAAGACAAGTTCTGGGGAAAGATAAAAAGAAAATGTTGTACTTTCGGATGCAAGAATGAAAGCAGTATGGTGTAATATGATGTAAGAATGAAGTTAATGTTTAATTGTAATGGTATTGTTGATGATGGTGGTAGTGTTGGTGTATAAAATACTTACATCCTCGAACCACATGATGGGGAAAATGATGTCAGGGAAAGATGCAACCTGTTTGATGTCTCGCACCTGGCTCACAGCGAGATTTATTTGTATTCTTGCACGTGCACGAAGAGCTGTACCCATCATTGGTTGAATGTCAACAAAAAGTTCGTGCTTTTCCTGTACAGGTGGTGACACACCTATCACGGCTTCTCTCAATGCAGGATCAGCTGAAATAAAAATAAATAAAAGGCAACTTATGTTAATATCATTGCAAATAATGGAATTACGAACAAGTTATAAATTAAACGATACAATAACGTAGGATAGTAAATTCCTTAACTAGAATATATAATATGTAAATCAACTAGACACATTATTTTCCTCTTACATTAGTTACAACAAATTCTTCAATTTATATATATATATATTTATATTTCCTCTATACTTTTAGATTTATAATTTCATTTTATTCATTCTAATATTAATTCATTGAAATTATAACCAAGTTATTTTCCTTTTAACATTTATCAGTAATAAATAATTAAATGGTTTATCTATATGAATATATAAACTGTTGCTTCTTTTTTTTTTGTATCGGGTTGCATAACATACTATATTGAAAAATAACACGTTGTTATATAATATTATATTAATTAATAATTCAAAGGAATAATATTTTATAATATAATATATTGCAATTTGACAAATCGATTTAACTTCAAATTAATCTTAAACTCGAATATACAAGCTTTGATTTTTTGTTTTTTTTTTTTAAAGATCGTAGTGTAAAAAAAAGTATGAGAAAAATTGAGAAAGATTCCCAATGATAATTTATAAAATATTCTATGTCGTGTAAATAATTCTCTTTCAATATCCTCTTCCTCTTCTTCTTTTTTTCTGCATCTTTTCTCACGAGTTTAAGACAAACCAGGTGGTGTAATTCGTGGGAGTAATTCGGTCACGAGTCTCACGAACCTACGAATCGTTATTGTTGAATATGGAATATAAAAGCAAAAGGAAAGAAAAAGAAAAGGAAAGAAAAGAAAAAAGTATTAAGAAAATAGGTCTCATACTAGGTAACGTTCCACGAAACCGGAAATGAAGTAGCAATAGTCGTCAGTAGACTATGACTTACGAAATAACTGAGCTTTCTTTCGAACGCACCTTGTAATACGCATATAATACTTTCTCTTTTCTATCTAACTAGATAATGGAGACATACGATGAATGAATGAATAAATGGATGAATGGATGGATAAATGGATAGATGGATATCAACCATAACGTTCAAGAAATACATTAAAATAACGTTTTATGTTATAAAGGTGACCATAATTGTCGGTAAATTTATTACTAATGCGTAACGTGTTATTCAATGACCGGTTATTTCCTATATAATCGATACTCACTTTTCTCATTTTTGTTTTTTAAACATGATATTAAATAACTATCGAAAACTTGTATTCATATAATTATTTCTTAATATACGTATAAATATATATATATATATATATGTTTACAGAAATATACATTAACTCGATTTATTCCTATTATTATTTTTAAATCTATACAATTTATATATTTATAATTTAAATATTTTCTTTTTTAAATTATTGCAATTTATTTTGCCTATAAATTGTAACTTATATATATTATAAAAGATTGAACCAAAAAAAAAGTAATGGAATAACAATTTACCCATATAAAAGTGTGGAAAACTAAGAAGTACAGGAGAATCAAATTGGCAGGCAGAAACATTGAATGTTCCTTCGGGTGCACAGGGTGGTCCAGCAGGACAAAAACATTGTTGAGAGTGTACCTTGTCAGGTGATGCAAATACATTCGTTGGTGGTGTAAATCTATATCCAGGAATATCACCGGTAGTCATTATCTCTTTCTAAAATAAAATTGTATAGGGTAAGAATGATTACGAATAAATACAACACAAAAAGACAAATAATAGTAATAATAATAATAATACATTTTGACAAAAATAATAATGAAGAAGAAAGAAAGAAACAAAAAATGATTTATACCTGAAACACCAAAGGTAGAGCCCTACAAAGGTCCTTGTCGAATATTTTCAAAACTGTATCCTTCGTGATCCTTGGTGGAAAAATACTACCATCGCTACCCATGATACTATCGCAATTAGGTGATGTCCAATGTCCCAAAAACTTCTTACCTTCCCATTTTTCTATTAAACCGTATTTCGTGACGTCACCGTCACCAGAAAATACAGTGTACCAATCCGGTTGAGTACCATTTTTTCCGTACAACAAACCGAATTGATCGAAAGGAAACTTTGGTTCTTTAGGTACTACGTCCTTGGCTAATTTCAATAGTGGATCCTCGTATCCCCATAATAATTGTTCTACGGATACCTCGACGAATGGTTTAATTTTTAATATGTCCATTATTGATGCCATTGCCAATCTAAGAAAACGTGCTGCGTACTTCGATTGAGATGTTGCTGATAACATTGGAACGTTTGGCACTACTACGAGATCATCGTCAGAACCAACTGACAATTCCTGTTAAATAAACATTTTTTATTGTTTCTTTAAATATTATAATTATACATCACATATTTAACAATAGATTTACGGACTGAGCCAATTTGATTCATTAAAAATTTGATTACTATATATATATATAGTAATACATATATTGTATATAATGTATGTTAAACTACATACATATTAATATTATACATATAATATATGTAAAACTTAAATATATTAATAAGAAGGGTATCATAGGGAATTTGGACATCAAAAAAAGAAGTAGAACTTAATTTTGATAAGTTATTTTTTTATACAAATTCCCTATGATACCTTCTTATTAAGAATTTTATTTTTGGACGAGAGAAACAACTGCTTAAATATATATTATTTTTTAAAAATATATTTTAGTTTTTAGGTTTTACGTAATAAAATATATATATAAATATTAATTCCTCCACTCTACTCAACCCTTCATTCAAACAAGTTTGTAAATCATTAAAAAAATTAATGAAACCAAAACTTTCGTAAATTTCATTTTAAACATATTTATTTTATTTAAATATATTTAAGCTAGTGTTTTAAATGATTTGCTTTGAAAATTTTCAGAGGGATTACACAATTTTACTTTTAAATATTTGTTTCTTTTTTTTTTTCTCTTTTTTTTCGTTAAATGACATCATAAATATCGTAATAATATATTATTTAGAAATATCAACTCGTTTATAAAATGATTAAACATAATTAATATTTCATGAGAGCATGTGATGATGACAAAAAAATTAAAACAGCAAAAACAAAAAAGGAAAAAGAAAGAAAGATACAACAGATGAAGATAATTTGAATAATGAGAGGATAATAATAGGAAAACGTTAGATGTTGTGTTCTGGATCTCTTAGCAAGTCATCACGAATAGTTATTTTCCATGGTTATTCATGAAATCTAACGTGAGGTATTGTATTAAATTAATAATCGTCGAGTGGACACACATCACAAAGTTAATCACGTGTCCAGTCTTATCACCGGAAATTCGCGACATGTTTTTATTATTATCGTATCGTATATTCGTATAAACAAAACAAAATAACACAGAAATAGAAGGAAAAAGAAAAAAAGATTCGCAATTGTTCCCACTAGAACATTATCATTTCCCGTAATAATAAATTTTATTTGCAATTTTAATTGTAATTTTAATTGTAATTTTAATTGTAATTTTATATCTAATTTTATATTCGATTCGTATCGCTATTATAAGATCAATATTGAATGTCAATTAAGAAGTATAATAAAATTTTAATTACTTTGTAATTATTAAAACTATGTTTAAATGTAAATGTTACGACATTAGTCGCGTAAAAAATTTTATCTTTCTCGTGTTATATGACTTTCCTTTTAAAGTATAATATTACATTTAACATTATGATTTTGTGTTCGTGCGCGTTAATTTAACTCATTTACTCGTTTATTTAAATAGGTATATAAAAAATATCCGACAATCTATGGTGTTAAGAAAATAGATGGCCTTATTCAAACGAAAGAAGAAAATATAAATGTACGAACATTTATTTTTAAAAATCTTTATACGTTTATCTTTATCTTGGGTATCATTTAGATCTTTTGCTTTTCTTTTTTTGGTATTTCTTGACAAAAAAAAAAGATATATATATATTAACTTAACTCACGAAGTAAAAGGATAAAGCTTTCTTAAATGACGACAGGTTTTACTGGTTCTTAGTTGACGTGAAAATATCCAATCGCAAACCTTTTACCGAAAAATATTTAACGTACGAGTTTCTTTCGAAATCAATGTCCAATACGTAGATTTATATTTGTATTATATATA